ACAAATTACTGCTTACTAAATTTTTTTACATTCTACTTATCTTGAGTAGCAAATTCCATTTTTTAATGATCATTAGGTAATTTGTTGGTAAGTGGTTCAGTAACTCTTGAGGAACAAAAGGGCTTTTAAAAAATTGCTATGTGGTTTCAAATCTTTTTTATATTAATACGTTTTGCAAAAACTGAAAATTTAATCGATGAGAATTTTTAGCATACCTTGAGTTTTACTTTACAGACACACTGTCTTCAAATTTCATCCTTTAATATGCAAAGAAACCGGAGTTATAAGTTTTTAAAAAACGGCAAAAATAGCGATATGTTGCAATTTGCAAAAAAAAAATTACTAAACCGATTTGGGACAAACGTGGCTAGTTTTGTCAGGTTTTTTATTGCACATGAACTTTATGACGGAAAATTTGTGAACGCGGGTTTCAGTGGAGGTGACACTGGTTTTCCCCAATTTACATGCAAAAATTATATCTATGTACATGATGTGTATGGATATAATTTTAACATGTACCCTGGTAAAAACGATACTACATAAACTGGCTAGAAACTCGTCAATATATTATAGGCCCATTTACGCATGTACTTTAGCGAGTTTCTAGTTAGTTTATGTAGTAATTTTCTGCCAGGGTAAATAGCAAAAAGTAGTGTCATTTCTTCTAAAATCTACGTTCATGATTTTTCTCTCACAGTACATGATATTGCAAGTAAAATACGCTCCATATACTCCAAAAAAAATTTAAAAAAAAAAAATGTGGACAAAAACGGAATATTCTTTCGGACGTTCTCTTGAATTTATTTATGTATACATTTAAAATTTGTACCACGTTTTGGCCTTGCCTTTGAATTTTTAATAAGGAATATAATGTTTCACTGAGCTTTGGTCTTCATGTACTATATGCTTACGTAGAATATTTTCAAGTTTAGTATTTGCCAAGGGATGGCGATTTGAGAAGATGCTATAAGGAAAGCTGGCCCGTTCTTGGTTACTCGTGTAAGATTGTCTACCCGATTATAGTATTAAAAAGATTTACCAACCTAATTTTATTTTCATTGAAAATTGCTATCATAACCAACTTTTTCATCATATAACTACTTTTAACAATTATTGAATTGTCAACAAAATGAATATTGAAGTTTTAAGATTAAATCTTTCATTTTTAAACAGTTATTAAATTATCGGGAAATGAAAATGAAGTAACTCATACATACTGACTTATTTGCTGAAAGTAAATATTAAACATAAAAGTTTTTATTAGTATTCTTTTTTTAGCGATATTATAACATTAGGTATACTAAATAAAAAAAGCATTGTGAGTTATAGTTATTCACACTGTTAGGGCTCATTTAGCATAAGGTATCATTGGTACAAACGTTCGTTTAAATGCCATAACCTACCTATAGGTATATAAACGTGAATATATATATTTGTATGGTAGCAATATGAATAGTAGAATTGTGAGTTTAAGGAGGCTTGGGCGTTTGGTGTCGTATCTATTGAGGGGCCCCTGTGGGGTACTTGTCATACAAATTATTCTTTGTAATATTTTTTTTATAATCATTTTGATTATACACATGTGTGAACAAAATAGCAATAATACGTGGAAAAGTCATTTGGAAAATCGATATTAAAAAATTTATTAGTTTTCCCGAGGTACCTTGTGTAAAGATGACGGCCCTGCCACGATAAAGCTGACAACACTGTACTCTCTTGCTCTCATCTGCTATTATATACCCATACTTGTGTTAGACTTAAATTTTCATGCTTGTATATTTATGAATGTACAGTGCATGCGCACTTACAGTACCTGAACAAAACAATTCTCATGTTCGATGTTTTCCTCGCTATTTTCTCAAAATTTAACGTGTTGATCCTATTCTTTATTTTAAATAATAGATTCTTTATACTTTCAAGTACATGTACCAATTTAATGTGTGGGCCCACAGCTTTTTATTGCGGTACGGTAGTCTATTGAATTTCGGGTTCCGTAAGGTTGCGTGTTAAAATGACGAATTTTCACAAGCGATTTTCTCGAAAATAAATGTGTTGACCTACCTATTTTGTTTTCCTAAAAAAATCTAGCAAACTTTATCTATACAATCTCTGAATTTCAGACCTAGCAAGCATTTAATTCAAAATCGCCCAAGCCTCCTTAAGTTTCTAAGTAAGTTTTTTTTACACTGATTCCATATTAAATGATTTTAAAAAATTTTCGAAACTCGAAATAATCGAAGAATAAGACAAAAGAGTGAACTAATAGTCAAATGTTAGCTCGTGAAGTCGTATTAACCTGAGGATTAACCATACTTTAATCTATTTTACTATAAAAAACAAAGACAACGCGGAAAATCAAGAAAACTTTGCAAAAAATGTTGTTTAAAAATCACTAAAGTATGTAAAAATGTTTCTAGCTATTACTTTCAGTAAAAAAATATTTATTACAATTTTTAAGTAAGATTGCTTACAGATATGTTCTCTTTAATTTAATTTATATCATATATATTATGTAGGTAAACATTTTTTATTGCTCGATCAAACTAAATCATCATAATTTGTAATTGAGACTGATGCTATATAAAATACGTATTAATTTTTATGCAGAACTTTTCACCCTTATGATAATTATGACGAATTTTTTTCGTATAACCTCTATTTTTTAAGATATTCGATAAAAAAAAGATTTGACATTCGCTTTAGGTCTTCGACGTACCCTTATTTCACGCATTTTCTTCACCATAAGCGCTGGCCTTAATTCTCTTGTCTCTCCTTACTTCATTCTTCGAGCTCATAGCCTATTAGAAAAGCACGATAGGTATGAAACTATCGATGGTTCATTATGTTCTAATAAATATCCTTCTTCTGTCAAAGAGTAGAAATATCCTTATTTATAACTGTTGTTTGCCAAAATGTGAAAAACTCTATTCTCATATAGTGAAGAAAACGCATTTAATGCTGCTTTATTTATTGTACACTCTACTCTGAGGAAAATGTTCAGTGAAGTCTACTACCCTTAATAGGGTAAAAACAACGAGCCCGCTCTTAACTCAGTCAACTTTACTACTTTATTAATAAATCAGTACATTATTGCGATGTATTGAAGTATTCAACTCTAGTCTAACTTTTTAGTATGAAATATAAAGAGACTCTTCTTAAAAGCAATATACTTAACCCGTTTGCAACATATCGACTGATTCTTAAACTCTGCAAAAAAGAAACAGTTAAATGAAAATTCAATGCCGGATGCTTCTATTATTTAGTAATCGTGTATACCAGAAATCGTATGAGTGATAGTTACAAGACTAACTAGACTTCTTATTGGGATAATCAAAGCTGTCTGAAAAAAAATCACAACAGCGCTACTACCGAAGTTACACAATAATTACTATCAGCGATTTTAGCAGACTCCACTAATTGTTTTTGCCGTATAGGTACACTGAGAGAAAAATATAATAAAAATTACTGTGCTAGAATGGTAATCTGGTGTCATTCCGCCATCTAGGAACTTTTTACTTTAGGCAACTTAATGTTTACCATTCTGGACAGTAATGTCTATTGTACAAACAGTAAAAATAACTATACTTACAACAAGAATTACTGTTCCAAATACTAAAAATTATTGTTCCACTAGTAAAACGTTTCTAGATAATCAAACAGTACGAGATTACCATTCTAGCACAGTAATTTTTTCTATATTTTTCTCTTAGTATAAATCAGCTCAATTTTTAGGTTTATTCCTTGAGGGTTTGTTACAGTTGATACAAGTAGCAAAATTAATAATATTTTATAAGGTAATGAAGTATACTATATGCACTTCTCGCCAGTCTCCCGCGTAAATTATTTTTCACCATACCCCCAAAGATAACTTTTCTTCCGTAATTTCAAGGAATGAAACCGGCGCATTCCTCTTGGATGGAAGCTCGTATTCTTTGTTTTCTAGAAAAGTATTTTGTCAACCTCTCTTAAGGCTCAGAAGCCAACTTCCATGTAGATTACAGACTTGTGAAGCTGATGCACAGCCGGGAAACGATTCATGTTAACATAATCTTGAAATAATTAAACAATAAAATGTAAAATTTAATGTAGCAGCCGTTTGTTTAACTGCATAGGTACATTCAGTGGACAACGCACACTCACATAAGCCCAATAACCAAATCTTTATCAATATGATTAATGTACGTGTTATCCTTAGTGATTTATAGTATTTTGAATCTACTTTTGAGAAAGAAAAAATCCCAATCTGAAAAAGAAATAAAAGTCTCTGCATAATAGTACCTACATATTCTCTTTCATTAAATAAATTCATTATGAAAAAACATTGTTATGTTTAATCAAATTAATCAATGCGCCTCCGTACTCCGTAAGTAAGAAGGAATCAAATTGTATAGGCAGAATTAATTTACAACACAATTAAACACTTGAAATGAAGATTTTTATATTTCAGTGCCAGGCCCATTTTCAACTTTTTATTTTGCAAATATCTCTAGGCATCGACTCCCTGGTGTTTGCAATTATACACCTAATAGGTAATGCTGTACTTTCATCCCTTATGGCGTAATATACTATGAAGTAATTTTACGGGGAATCGAACCCACTTACCTTTTAGACCTTCAGACTACGTAGCTAGCATCCTAACCATTTAGCATACGAAGCACTTTTTAGATCTGCACCTTATTTAAATGTATAATTTAAAAGCTGCTTTTCAATGCTCGTATTAAAAATTTAATTTTCTTTCATTTTCTTTAAATTTTAACACAGGCTTGACTTGAATTTGAAATAATATATACATGTATAGAAAGATCTGCGGTTTCTGAATACATTTGTTTTTATCACACTTAAAAATATATTGCGTAACAGATTTAAAAAAAAAAAAAAAAAAGGATTGTTGTAAAGTCTGTAATTGATGTAAGGATGTTATGTCTATATGAGTTTTCCTTTGCAAGCTACAACTACATACACTAAAAATTAGATTACATATGATTGTTTGTTATTTTTAGGCCGATTATGAATTTTCCAGTTGGACAGAACCTTTTACGATTGCTGGTGCAAATGTTTTGCCTAGTTCAGGAACAGCAAGTTATAACAGCTTAGCTGGTTGTCCTGCCTCGACTTATGCTAATACAAAGAATGCCATAAAAACAGCTGAAGAACAAGACTCCATCGGGATCATAATTTCTCACTGGTCTGGCAGTCATCACTTAACATCTCACACATTTGCTTGGGTTGGTTACCTCATTGCTGCTGGTCTAGCGTGGAACCCAAGTTCTGACATGGACGTACACTCGGCAACTGATTTTTACAACATCTGTGAATCAACTGGAATTATAAATAAAAAGTACTAATGCTCATTTTTCATTTTTAAGCATAAAATCAAGCAATCCAAGAGGAAGTTTAATACCATAACCTTAAAAAATGCTGATGAATTTAAATACAACGATGTAAATAAAGTAAAACTGACTTATTAAACATTAACCTAGCCTAATTAAAAAAACTGTTTTTTTTAGATTTTTTTCACGAAATTCTTTGAAAATCATGTGATTCATTTTAGTCGTTCGTAATTTTAAAATACATGAATTCTGCCCGAAAAATTCAAAAAAAATTTTATTTGCGTGGATAAAAAAACATTTAGAAACTTTTTTGCACGATTTTCACAGATAACTTTAACAACTACTCAAAAAAATATCATTGTATATGATAATTAGAATAACTATATTTTACATACAATAAGATAGTGACGTGATGGGATCTTAACTGCAGATGAATACGACTAATATTTGCCTGTTATAGACTTTTTACTTTATCAAGGGCTGTAAGATTACTATAGTTTGTCTTAGATTGTTACAAGAATCCAAGTTTTTAAAAAAAATGAAGGACATAATTCAAAAGTGTTAGTTGTATTTGTCTGCGGCTACCATTAATAAAACGCTGTATTAATGAGTTCCATAGTCATAGTGATCAAGAACATAAGCGATGTTCGATCCTTTTATCAGTCCTTTCTTTTTTCTGTTCTATCTAAATCTGCTATGTACAATATCATGTTGGTAGCACATTTAATTTGGTGAAGGATAGCGTTTGCATGAAAACGTCCTTGTACAACGCATTATTAAAATTTTTTCTGTCTATAGAATAGTTATTCTAATTATGAATTATAATAGGTATCACCATATATAATCAAATAAGTCATACTTTGCTTCCCTGGTAAAAGCCATAACTTTAACATCAAATATCTCGACACTAGTGTGGCCAGGAGGTTTGAAATTTTACTACATTACACATAATTACGTTAACTATCCACAATTTAAAATTAAATTATCACAGCGATTATAAAGAAAAATTAGCTTACATTCTAAAAGGTGATGTGAGTTCGGTTTTTCTCAGAAATATTGAATTGTTTTCTCTAGACTTTCATCAAGAAAAGTATCTGCACTGTAAAAAAAATTAATTACTCGTACTGTATGGTTAGAGCTAACTTATACTTTTTAATAGTGTGGTATTCGTGGTAGACTACTGATTATAAAAATTGATTGCTATGTTACCAAAAGAATAGCAAATTTTGTATATTGAATCTATAAGTAATTAATAGATTGGATACTAATTTTTTAGTTTTTATTGGTACGGTAGGGTGGGGTAATCGGAACGCTTTTTTATATTTTAAACACTGTTACTTGAAAAATATTTTATTTATGATACTAAAAAAAAAACATTGATGATATTTAAATGGCTTACAAATAAGTAAAAAAATATTTCATTCTTCCACCTCCACTTAGGAATATTTAAAAAATTTAAAAACGAAGTGACTGCCAAGTTGAACTAAGTGGGGCAATCGGAGCTGTGTGTGTAGTTTGGTAAAGAAATAATACAGACGCAAATTTTATAAGTAAGAAACAAGTTGTGTTTTATGGCTACATTTCTTTTTTTGAGGTTAGAGCAGACAAAACCAACGCTACGAAACCGCTCCTATTGCCCCTTTTTTTAAGTTATCAATTTTGAAAAAGTTTGTTGCAATTTTTATTAAAATTTTTTAAGAACATAAAGCTAATATTATATTTTTTATTTCACACATCAAAATTGAGGTTTCTAGATTTTTTCAAATATTTTTCATGTGATGAAACTGATATAAAAACTAGTTTTTTTGACTACAAGGTGACAGTACACTTTAACTTGTTTTTATTAGAAAAATATGGCTTTATATTGCTTTGTTCAACTGTAAAAAAATGCGTTAAGGTTAGAGCTTTTCAAAAATAATTTTTTTTTTACAATAAGATAATTTTACAAAAAGATAATAAGAAAATCCCTTATTACTTCTACCGCTCCGATTGCCCCGCCCTACCCTAACTCTAAATAAATTTCCATACGGACTATTCTGTACATATTTTGCTCGCTACACAATACTTCGTTAATTTTTTTAGCATGTTTCTATGGAAAAAAATACGTATACATCAAAAGTTATACAAAATATCCAACATTACTTAATTCACCCAAATTCGGTTTATTTAATTCATTTAATTGTATTGAATTTCAGATCTGTTGCTCGATTGTTAGATACTCATGTATTTCGTGATCTAGAGTACAAGATTGGCAATGCGATTCTCGAACTCGGGAGGGTTGACACTTTGGTTTTGACACTAAGTCAGAATCAGCAGATTCATGATCTTCAGCAGGTACCAGACAATCGAGGATCAACTTTGTATAGATTGCTAACAGATCCCGATAACGTCAATATTGAGTATCTTTCAACTGATATATTTTTGGTAGCTATGTAACATTTTTAAATACATAGAAAAATTCAATTTTTGTTAAAAGTAATCTAATAATCTGAAAATCATTAAATTATTTTTAAGAAAACCACCAAGCAGATAAAACGAGTGTCACATGCACTGTATGAGGCCAACCCAACATCAAAGTTTGCCTCTATGGAAATTCAAGAGTTGCAGTTGACTGCTGATTTGATGCTGACAGCTTGCAAAATAGGAAGAACACTGATTGGCGTGGGAATTAATCCTAACAGTAATATGGGGCTAGCCGTTATAAATTTAGGCATTAATAATTTGCCTCCGACCTTTCGAACTGATATTGCAAATAAAATGCTGGCTCATATTGAACAATATAAAGGTGCGTGGCTGCAAAGACACCTACCTCAAGGGCTTCAAAGTTCCTTGCTTATTTTGACAAGTGCTTTACATAGATTTGTGCCTGAATCATAAATCTGTTACATATAATTAGAATTTTACAAATAGTATATCAGATTTATGATAGATGTGCGCTATGAAAAAAATGTACACTAGTTTTAGTATTTACAAAAAAAATATGAAATGACAAAATCACTATTGAGCTCTTAAAAATATTACCATAATCCTCCAAACACTATACACTGTTAGACGTAGGATCATTAGTATTCAAGCTAATATTTACTTGTACACAGTGACCAAGTATTTAAAATTTTTTTTAGTGTTACAGTTTCTTAATCTTAATGTGAATAAACAAAATACTTCATTAATAAAAAAGTTTCACTAAGTATAAAGAAATTCAGACTTAGATTACTGGACAATAAAATTATGGTATACAATATGTATGTAATGATACATACTATAGTGTAATATTATTCTAAAGCATTTTATTAACTGAAATGGATATAAAAATTTCATACCATCAATTAAACAAGCATTTTTATTCTTCATACGCAAAAATTTTTGTAAAAAAGTTATGTGAGTAGTCACGAAATTGTTAAAAGTATTAAATGTTGACTTTTCGTAATGTAATTTTGAAAACTTTTTAATATCATTGTAATAAATCTATTTACTTATACAATCTTTGTATTTAATCTCGAACTCCGAACATAATAAATGCTCTTAGTATTTCTAGATTTAACAGTGAAGAAATCAGAACGTCTTATGATTTTCTTGTTTTTTAAATAACTGGAAGTCATTTTTAATTCATAGACATGAAAAAGTTTTAAACTTTTTTGAGATATCTATGGACAAAAACAGTATTTTAGAGAAATTATGCAAAAAAATCCATGAATAAAGGTATTTTTAAGACTATCTGTTTTTTTTTTTTTTTTTTTTTTCTTTAGTTTAATATTATGTAATATCTGTTTCGATGTAAAATCGTTTTCTGTGTATAATTTCCAAAATTTAATAAGTAAGTATCTTTTTTTGAATCATCTCTATTATTTATAGAAATTTACATCCCCATAAAAATACGTTTTAACAAAATAAAAAAGGTTAGGTAAGTTTGATGTGTTGTTGAGTTAACATTTTAATCTTAGGAATTGCTGAAGTCTTTCTACGCTGGTAATGAATAGTATATTCTTCTTAATGAATCTATCAAACTAATATCAAATATAATATCAAACTAAATAATATTGACTTGTGACTGGTACTGTATATAAACCTTTTTTTACATGAATTAAAATTATGTTCTAATATTTTTATATAGTTTCGACATAGCAAGGCATTATTGTATTTAATGTGAGGTTTGCATGAAGTACCAGTCAAAAATCAATATTATTTGGTTTGATTTTGTTAAAGTACGAGTACTAAACAGTATTATAAAACGAGTGTCATATAAAATGTATATTGCGTAAAAAAAACTCTACCGTTTTTATGTTTGGATTTCAGAACTTTTCAAGGCTACAGATTCATTAGGAAGAATATACTATTTATTGCCAGCATATAAAGGCTTCAGCAATTCCTTACATTAAAATATTAAGTCAACAACACATCAAACTTACCTAACCTTTTTGTTTTGTTAAAAGGTATTTTTATGGGGATATCGTAACTTTTCAGAAAAACACAATTTTTTAAATGTTTGTATTAAAAACTTAATTACATAAGATATCGCTAATACTAGACAGTACTTGATAGCAACGAAGTCTGTACAATATAGCTACGGTGATCTACAATGGTTCCACTACCGAAATTTCTACTTAAAGTAGCTCATGTAAAGATGTTTTGAATATATGAATCTGTGCAGAGGTTAATTTGTACAAGTAATTCATAAATTTACTGAACGAAAAAAATTTTTCTTAATTATACTATTCCAGGATTTTCACCTATAATGCTTTTTTTTCTTTCTTTTATTAAACTGCTTTATCATATGATTCTCAGCATTTTTTTTCAAGTTAATTACATACAATTAATTACTCTTTTTAAATAAAATACTTTAGTTACTGTGCGCATCGAAAATCCCGAATGTGTCATTTATTCAACTAGCTTTCATTCTTATATCTTTTTTATGTATTGATGGAGTCTAAGCTTTCCAAATTACAGTTATTCAATAACTAAGTGATTCTTACAATAAATAATTATTTATTACGAAAATACGTACGAAAACCAAAAAAGCGATGTTACAAGTTACTTGACCAATTGCTTTTATTCAACAATTTCTTATTTCACTTCTACTTAAAAAATTAATTATTAGTATATAATTTTTAACTACCCAAATCGCTGAATTAAATGAGGCTTAGGTTTACAGCTTGTTATTTAGGGCACTTTGAAAAATAATATGAGTTTCTTATTATCGATTATTTAGATACTACTACAGCTGTTTGCAAGATTTGTTATAGTTAGATGTTTTATTGAATTATACCTAAATCAGTTAGTTTCTCGATTGCATCTTTGACTCATAACACACGGTTAAAAAAAATTAAAAAAAAGGTTATGTTTTAATCGTCTGTTATCTTATTTTTCTCCTAGAGCTCTAAATTATGTCACCAAATGTGGGCTTGATTAATTATGAGGAATTTTAGAGTAAAGCGGCGATGTTTTTTTTTTTTTTAATAAAATAGTAAGTTTTTAGTAAATTTTGTTGATTAACTTGTTACTTGAAAGGATCTTATTATAAAGGTAGAAAATTTTAATTTTCTACTGATTATCGACTATTTATTATCAGTAATTTATATTTATCATAAAAATCAAACTCTTTCTACTTTTAATTCGTTTACGAAAACCGTAAAAACGGTACGAAAAATAACTTATCACTTTTACTAAAAAATTATAAAATTTATTGCTGATAATTTATTTATTCATTACAAATCCTTATTCAGATACTGAAATTAAGGTGTTCACGTTTGAAGCGCACGAAATTCAGGGTTAGAACGATAGTATGTTGATGTATTCGAGATATTTAAATTTCGTGCGTATTAAAAATTGGCCACTGAGTAAGTATTCTACCTTAGCAACGCAACGTCTTGCCTGGCTTTGTTTTATAGCTGTGAGAACACACATACAAAGATATACATGACTTCAATTTGCCACATATATTTCATTATTTGTATTATATATATACTGTGAGAGAGTCATCCACCCGCTCCCCCCCTCTTCTGAGGCATTGCTGTTCTCTACTATTATCTGCGAATCTGCATGCCACGGTAAATAGGCATCATATCACCAACTGCATACTATTATGATATCCTAGTGATTAGGTCACATAAAAAAACACCACAGAGTTACCTGGGAGGAAGTGACGGAGCGGAGTCTGGTACCCGAGCCCTCCAGGCGGAAAGCGAGCACTCTATCATCTTAGCCACTGAGAACTCCCAATTCTCAACGCTACCTTATCATATTGTAGGAAATACCTGTAGCGAATAGCACACTGTTGGTAGCTCTGCTTAATTTTAAGAGCACGCTTATCCCAATTATACACTAGAAAAATTCGGCTTGCAGCTAACTTTATGGTAAAAACATTTTTAGGTTGAAACTGAAACTGAAGAAATTTTAATCTTAATTTGAGCATTTTGACATACACATGCCTCGTTTTCGTTGTTATAACGACTTTTTGACGTAAATTTTTCGGTAAAGCTGTGGAGTAGGATTAAAGAGATTAAATTTAAACAAAATACATCAGGCATATCGGCAAAAATACTTATTTTTTGATATTTGGAAGTTCGAGTATGTAAATCTGAAGTAAATAGTAGTGCGGTCATCGAGACTTCGTCTGCTTACTCAAACTTACCTTGGCGTGCTCTGCGCACCAACCCCCCTAACTTTTTTTGTCAAACTTATTTCTAATGATTATTTAATCTAAATAGAATGATTCAATTTTAAAAATAAGTCTAAGCGATAAAACGACTTCGGTGAGTCTTTGAGGGCGCTAGATGTACCCAGCGCTTGTCTACTCAATCTCATATGTACATTTAACTGTACCTCCTTTCGTCACTCACGACCAATCAGATCACGGCGTATTCTGTCGACAGTCATGTGACACTCAATCTTGTAGAAGAGGATAATCATTTTTCATCAAATTTTGGAGCCCACAATTTTTATTTATAATTCCTTCCCTATAATAATCCCATGATTCTTTATGATTGTTTGTGAATAACTAAAAATTATTCCATCACTAATAATTAAATAAGTGTATGGATGCAATCAGTCCAAAATCTAATCACTAAGTATTAGTTCGCATTAACAAACCTTATAACTTATGGTACTATTAAACATTTTAATGCACCGAATCAGAGTAGGTATAGTGTCACTGTTTTACATTGCCGTAGTTCGATTATTTGTCAACATGTAACTGGATAAATTCGATGCACATAGTAGTGTTACTAGTGGTGAGTAAATATCACATTATTAGGAAAATTACAATGAGTTTTCTAAAATCTTTGCCGTCTTTAAAAATTTTTTTTGACGAGGAAAATAAAAAAATCTTACTCCACTATTTTGCCACGTAATTTTATAAGTAACAACGCAACAGTAAGTTTGATGAAGTATTTAAAAAATAATTTTATAACACAATGCATACGATGGACGCTTGAGGCGAAGCCAAGGGCAATAATTATTGTGTTCTGAGGCTTTCTTCTTTTCATCTCGTGGGAATGTATACATTTTTTTACCAACCCTACACCGAACAGTACTAACTTTCTACACAGTGTGGTAATAACAGTAATATAATATTACTTCGTATCAGTCGTACCTTGAATGCAAAAACGCAGTTTTTGCATAAATGTAGCCACTTGTTGTCTTCTACATGTACCTTACACAATGGAAAAAAACGAGTTTGTAATAAATTAAATAAAACATGAATTTTTCGTACATGATAATAATTTTGAATATTGTTGTGGATGTGTATAATTTCGTCAGAAAATAATTATACTGAAAGCTATTTAAAAATCTAAGTTAAAAGTAAGTGTGATAAAGTGTAAAAAAAAAAATTAAATAAGTAACTTTAACATCATTTTTCCATATGGTGACTCTGTTTTTCT